AGCTTTTCTTCCCTTCTTTCTCATGACAGCCACACCCTGCTTCATATTTGTGGTAGGTCTTCAGTGCAAGAGTTTCCTGCCCCTCCCCAACCATTAATAAACTTCTACTTTGTGCTAGTGTAAGATCTAAGGCCCAAGAGGACTTTGTGCTCCTTCCTTAGATGTAGTGGGTTTTTTCTTATGCCTCTTTCCCAGAAGCACTGGGCCTTTGCCTGAGCTCTAGGACTGGGTGTACTTCCTCCCCCTCTGTGACTTAAGGCTCTTGCTTTGAATGAGATAAAGCTTAGGGAATTGCAGAGAGGTTTGTGCCTATGCCCCAACTTTAGCTGATGACCTCTTGTTCCTGCACTATGAAGGGAATTTCTCCCTTGTCCCCTGCCTTATCCCCAATCTAACATATGGAGGTCCATGGAAAAGAGTTTCTGAGTGAGTGTAAATGTCCCTTGTGTTTGTGGGTCGCTGCTATCCTAAACTTACATGCATCAATAGACTAACACATGCAGCTTTTAAAAATTTATTAAAATTTTAGCTTATTTCTTATCTGCTAAAAGTGAAATAATGCATGGTCTCATCTTACCTCGGAGATAGTTGTTACTTTTTGAAATTTGGGGGGTTTTTGCTTGCATTATAACCTTGGCTTAAGAAAATTTATGATTTTAGTACTTATCTGGCTTTTTTTCTTATAAGATGGGAGCCACATTCTCTTGCAGCTTTCTTCATCCTAAGCAAAAAGAGATGATGATATTTTTTAAAGCTTAATTATATTAAAAAATAAGTTAACACAACTTTAGCATGTGCACCTTTTTATATGCTCAGCCTGTTCAATAATAGTATGTCCAAATGGTGACAGAGAGATGGAGNCCTTTTTATATGCTCAGCCTGTTCAATAATAGTATGTCCAAATGGTGACAGAGAGATGGAGACAAAGGTACAGAAAGTTTATGTACTCTAGAAACTGACTTCAAAAATACAGTGTGTAAACACACACTTACACTTTAAAAACAGATTTGACTACCAAGCTCTGATAAAGCCTCTTTCAACTTTCTAAGTCCTGGAAAAAAACATAAAAATTCAGAATACTGAAAATTTGAATCAATGGAAACCTAATTATTAGAATTTAGTTAAAATAATTGTGAAATTATGTAGAGGAAATAGTTGGT